GAAAGATGCTGTTCTAGGGCACTGGTGGCCGTGCCACCCGAGATGTAAAGGAGGATTGGGGCGGGAAGCAGCCCCAAGGGCCCCTGGGGACTGCACTGAGGAGCTGGGTTGGTCTGGATGCAAAGGACCAGGAAGAAGAACGATCATCCAGGGCAATCAGGAAAGAGGCTGGTCAAGGCCCAGGCTAGGAGGAAAGACTGGCAGGTGAGATGGGAAGGTGAGTGAGGCTGGGGGAATCAAGGCATGGAGGGCAAGATCGACTTACCCTGGAGAGGCCTTGGGGTCGGAGAGAGGCCTGTGGGTCCGGCAGGCCCAGGGAAACCGAGGGAGGCGAGGGCAGGGCCGGGCCCAGAAGCAGTGCTTCTGGGGACCTGGGAAGGAACTGAGTTGCTCTGGATGCACAGGATCAGGAAGAAGCAGTGGTGGTTTCCCAGGTGCCTGGGGCGCCAAGACAAGGAATGGGACATGACCCAGGCTAGGAGGAGAGACCGGCAGGGGAGATGGGAGGGTGAGTGTGGCTGGGGGAGTCTGGTACAATTATATTTTTATCTTTTATCCCTGTTAAATTTCAACTTAATAAGATCCTTCATGAGCCTTGGTTCTCATCATATAACATTTTCAGTATTTTCCTCTGCTTTTTATCAACATAAACTTACATGATTGATGTAGTTTTAGACAAAATATCTATAATAATATTTGATTTTATTTACTGTCCATGAACTATATACCAGGCGTTATATGTCAGCATTTTCATGTTTTCCTTATTTGTTCCACACAAAACTGTGAAGTAGACACTGCTAAGAATTTTACTTTATACATGAACTGCTGACTTGGATATAGGTCTTTGATGGATGCCTCTGGAAATTTCACTCTCAACTGACACTAACTCACTCATCAATCTGAGTAGTCTTGTAACTGATAACTAAAATTTTACTTGTGTCAGAATATAATACATAAATATAATATGTTCAAGATGGGCTAGCTATCCATTATTGTGACAAAATATCTCATAAAGGGAAATTTAAAAAGGGTTATTTCTGATGACAATTTCAAAGATTTCACTCTGTATTTTAAGTCTAATATTTGAGGCTGTGATGATTTATACTGATTGTCATAGTGATAGGATCTAGAATCACCTTTGAGACCAATCTCTGGTCAAATTTGTGAATGAGTTTGTAGATTGAGCTAATTCATCTGAGAAGATCCAGTCTATGTGTAGGTGGTACCGTTACATGGACTGGAAGAACTGGACTATATCCATTTCTGTTTGCTTCCTCACTGTGGATGCAATGAGACCAGCTTTCTCAAGCTCAAGTTGCTGTGACTTTTCTGCCCAAATAGATTATCCCCTTGAACTGTAAGCCAAAACAAACCCTCTGTTCGTCAAGTTGCCTTTGTCAGGTATTTTGTTTTGCTGGAGCATAACAAATAACAAATACAGGACCCCAAATAAGGCAGACCGTTATGGAGACAGGAGCACAAAGAGGCCATCTCATGGCTGCCAGGAGGCTGACAAAGATAGAAAGGGACTAGGGACAAGGGGTGGGGCTCATAGAGGGGCGTACCCCATTGGATCTACTCAACGGTTAAGAACACTGGTTGTTCTTGCAGAAGACCGGGCTTCGAATCCCAGCACCCACATGGCAGTTAACAATCATCTCCCATTTTTATAAACTCTCAATATATGCTATCAAATTATGAACTCACTAGTAAATTAATCCATTGTTGAAGGCAGAACCCTCATGATCTAATATCTTTCCCAGAGCTCTGAATATTGATGCAGTGGGTGTCAGCATCAACACATTAGACTCTGGGAACATAGATCTAAGTTGTAACACAAACTGCATCATGAAAGGTTATTTATTAATCGCTATGATTTTTTCTGAATGCCTTAATTACACATTACCATTGAGGAAATTGTGGAATAGGCCACTAAAATGAAGAAAATTATCTTCTTGTATAAATAATCAATGTTTTATTAGAATATATTTTAGAGTTTTAAAAACATGCATACATAATCCCAAGTTTCTTATACTGTCTATTCTGGTCCAGTAACTGACACTGAAGGCAGCTGGCACCAAGAAGCAGGAGCACTAGAACTCAGAATTCTCTATAGACTACTGTTGTTCTCAATGACAACATCCAATTAGAAATTCGTTTATGTCTCTTTCCATCTATGAATGGTTTTGTGTGTTTTTATTGTGTCATTTATATGATGTCATTCTTAAAACATGAAAATCAAGGGACCATGATTTGAAATTTCCATGAAGACCTGAGAGCAGGAATCTGTCAGTGATCTTCCCACTACCTCAACCACACAGCCTAGGAGATGTATGTTTCTGATGTGCAGTACACACCTGCAGCTTTCCTCCCGTGGAAAAGATGTGTCCATCCACTACAACAGCAGGCTGAGGAACTGAGAACCTGCCTGCTGCTGCCTGCTGAGAAGAGACTGGCAGTCTTCCTTAGCAGTGAACAGCTGTCATCAGATGAGGACTTGCCACTTCTTAAAGAGTTTCATAATCTGGAGTGCCTGAAAAGGACTTTGAGAGTGAGGGGAAAACTACTTGGTTCATATTACTTGCCATTCGCCTGTTACCTCAGGGCTTGTGTTTGTGTGTACGCAAGTGTGTGTATTTGCATGGTCAGAGGTCATTTGTCAGAATTTTCTTTCAAACAGAAATTTTCATGAAAAGACAAAAAAGTAAAGAAGCAATAAGGCTAAATTCTTCTTTGTTAAAATTATAATGAAAATGTGGGGGACAGATGAGAGGTCAGGAGCCCCCAGTTTATTCAGTTTTGCTTCTCTTCCAAGTGTGACCTTCATAATTATGCGTTTCCTTTTCAATATAACAACAGTAGTAACAAAAATACTATAAGAGTTGAAGCTCCAGGGCCTCGGTCTCAAGAGTGATGCTGCTTCCCCAACCAAAAAGAAGATGTCAGCAACTTCCAAGGCCTCTAACAAGGCAGCTTTTGGGATGATGATGGTAATGGCGGGGGGGGGGCAAAGTCAAGGCAGCTGCTCCCACTAAGGGCAGTGGGTCTGAGATGGTGCCTGCACACTGGTGGGGAAGATGTAGGCCATTAGGGGCCAGGCCTTGTCGTCTGTGGGTCCAGGAAGAAGGCAGAGAGTGACTGGCATGGAGGGAGTCTTAATTTCTTATTTTATTATCCAACCAGCTGTCATTCTTTGTTTAATCATATCTTATTTATCAACAAAGGATCTACACATTTTCCACCAAAAAGAAAATGAAAATCGCAGCAATATCTTGCATTTGCATTATGCATCTAAGTTGATTTGATTGTTAAAGCATAAATATAAAACATGTCAAAGGTTTTATTCAATTCATTATCTTAATGTTTAGTAAGATATCAAATTGGTTCAAGGTATATTTTGAGCAGCCAAGTATTTATGGAGTATTTAATAAGGAAATTGTAATCTTGATCTGGCAAGATGGCTCAACGCTTAGAGATGCTTGTGCTCAGATGACCTGAGTCTGATTCCGAAATTCCACAAGGTGGCAGGAGAGAACCAATGTGGAGGAATTGTCTTCTGACCTCATGCACTATGGCATCTTTGGGAATGCACGCACACAGACACAGACACAAACACGCACACACACACATACACACACACACTCTCTCTCTCACACACACACACACTAAAAAAATTCAATTAACATGATAATAACTAATAACTTTTAAAAGAAGTTTTGAATTAGGAGTTTTATAAACACCATCTTTGTGGTTAATCTTTTCCCTGGGACAGAAACTTTGCATCTCTACTGCATCAACATCCCAAGTCTACTCTGTCCTTTTGGAGTCGAACAGTAGCCTAGTCTAAAGGAAGCCAAGAAAACTGTCAGCTAAACACGGCACCAAGAGCAGCCGAGATCTCTGTGGTCTCTTTGCAAGATTTAGTTTACTTTTCTCACTTGGTCCTTGTTTGAAAGGGTCTCTTTATAAAATCTCTTTATAAATCTTCTATAAATCTACAGCTTCATTTGGGGGAAGAAATTGGCAAAATCTGGTCCAAAACATAGTCAAGAATGTTATTTACATAATTCTGTACTTTAAAATGTTTGACAATGCCATAGAGTATCAGAGGGTGAATTTCTACAAGGCAGTGCTTATGAAATTTCCATGTCCTCGAATAAGCTGTCGGTCTCAATACAAGGTGTGAGGACTTAATGTTGAACAGTGAAGCCAGTATAGCACTTGGGCTCCATCTGCTCTGCTCCCAAGTGACCTTCTGTTTGTCTTTAAGAAATGTTTTGCTTGGCATCCTTTCCTGTCTTCCAGGCATAGTTCTTCCTATGGTGATTGCTTAGATATCTTCCTTGTTTGTGATGAACTCTGCCTCATTCCTGTCCATTGGAATTCCTAATAGCAGATTGTAAAGAACTTCTAAAACCATTCTCTGGAAACTTCAGCTCCTTGGGCTATTGTTAAGAACACTCTGTAATTTCTTTGTATTGCTTGTAATACATTGACTCTGATTTTTAATTTATGGACTTGCCTTATGTATTCTACTAAACTGTCAGATGTTGAATAAATGTTCAGTTCTGATTTATTTATTTTGTATTTCTGGAGGTTCAGTGGTTAGCATGGGGCTTTGTATACCTCATGATCTCTTTGAATGTTTATCGAATTAGGGGAGAATTAGAACATGGTCAGGAGAATTTAATGCTGTCCCTAGGAAATGGATGCATCCATGCTCTTAGAAGAAACAAATAACTATGTAAATGAATGCAATGCAGTAAGAGCCTTGAGGCCCAGTATGGCGCAGCTTGTGGGTACTCAATCTGTGATTACAATTCAAGTTCATTCAGCCTCAAAACCACCATGCGGTAGCTTTCTGGAACAGAAAAGCCAGCAGTACTGAAGGGAGATTCTCCTCCGAGTGCCCAGAGAAAAGCAGCAGCCTTAACTGAAAAGGCACATCCTGCACTGGAAACGTCATTAAATCAAACTGTTTTGTTTCCTTCACAAACCAGGTCCTCCAGAAGCTGGGAAAAGCTGATGAGACAAAAGATGAACAGTTTGAAGAATATGTCCAGAACTTCAAACGGCAGGAGGTGAGCACAGATCTCAAGTTTCTGCAGTAGGAATAACTGTGTTTGCATTTTAGAATATAGTTTGATTTGAATGTCCCCCAAGGTTCCTGTGTTGGAATTTAATCCCCATTGTGAAGTGTTAAGAGGGTCCCAACTTAATCTATGATGGGGCTTAGAGGCAGGGCTTTTCAGTGGTAATTAGGTTTAGATAAAATTATAAGGTAGCATCCCATGATTGAATCCTGATGGCTTTATAAGAAGGAAAATAGAGACAGGAGACACACACTTCCTGTCTCTTTCCATGTGATTCTGAGCTGCCTCAGGCCTCTGTCAGCAAACAGGTCATTACCACCGGTACCAGAGATCCATGAGCTAAAATAAATCTCTTGCCTTTATAACTGTCTTGGCCTGTGACTGTGTGTTACTGGCAATAGAAAGTGGACTGACCCAGTTTGTAACTAAAAAGCATTAAGATTGAAGAAAGAATAGTTGGGGCTGCCACCAGTGGGAGGATGACACTTGCTAATTCTGCACAATATTTTGTAGAAGACTAGGGGAGAAGCAGTAGGGGTTTCAGGAGGTAAAGTCGCTTGCCTCACAAGCATGAGGACATGAGTTTGCTCCTCATCACACACACAGTATGATGGTGTGCACTTGTGATACCAGTACTGGGGCAGAGTCAGGAGAGTTCCTGGGGCTTACTGCCTACTTGTTCTAGCTCAATTGATGAGCTCCAGGCCAATAAGAGAGTGCTTCGAGTGAGATGGATGGTGTTTCTGAGGAATACTCCTTAGGTTGTCCTCTGGCCTACACACATGCATACATACATATCACATGTGCACACGTACCCCCCCCCAAGTATACTCAACCCCTCCACACACTAAAAAAAAAATACACTCTTCACAGAGATTATATCTTTCTAAAGGAATAAAACCTATTCTCAGTGAGTGAAAAATGTCTCTTAAAGCAGAAAGCACAGATAAACATGCATTACATTCATAGATATATAACATAGGGACTGTGAACAGAGAAAAGATGATGTCTAATAAGACTCCTTATGGGAGGTGGTAGAGAAGAAGAAGGATGAGAAGCAGTTCGTGATGTTTGCTCCTTTTGTTAGCATCTCTGTGTTTAGCAGTTTGGATGAACCAAACTGCTTTCTAAATTGCCTGCTCTGATCTATAAGTCTTGGGTAACTGGCTGGAATATCAGTCTTCAGAGAACATGTTTGAGGAAGGTGGGAAGAGGCAGGAAGGACCTGGGTCTTTGTAGTAGAGGGGAGATGGGAAAAAGGTGCATCAGCAGATTATGGAAAACAGACTTGTAATTGGGGCCAGTGTCAGGTGCAGACTCATTTTCCTGTTGTCATTGGAGTTATCCGTACTCACAAAGGAAATCATGACCCAGGGACTGACAATAATGGAAAATTATTGCAGGTTTTATTTGTCTCACTTCACTCTGCATGCAGACTCCTGGTCTTAGAGTTTCCATTTTCCTTCTTGTATCAAGTCTCCTATTATTTATCTTACTCAAGACAAGCTATTTCTTTGACTCACCAAGAGGTATAGAGTCATGTAGACTAGTCCCATCAAAACACATTCCTGGATATCTCCAATTACATCCAAAGACTAAGGACTGATGTGTGCACATAGGAGCTCAACTTACTCCAAACCATAATGATTTTGTTCTATCTAAAAATAAGAAAGAAAAGGGAGTTGGAGAATAAGGGCAGTGACAGAAAATAAAAGGAGCATGTCCAAATTACTATTACAGGGACTAATGAAGGTGGAAAAGAGAATCACTACAGAGAGGTAGGATCTGGGTTCACAGAATAAATTGCACCTAGTGTCCCCAGGAGAGCAGAGTCTGTGTGAACATCTGCTCCCTGCAGAGCTCTCCCACATCTTCTCCTGAACTTGGTTGGCACCCATGCAAATCTTTGTCTTTGAATACAGGACCTTTCCACAAGAAAACTTGTCAACCAATGTCCTATCACTTCCCCAGGCAGTCCTCAATGTTTGCTTTAAGAGACCGGTTGTAGATTGAAGAAATGACTCAAGTTTGTAGTTTTCCTTACTTGAAGATTTATGTCTTACTCTTTAAAACTCAATATTCTTGTCTGGTGGATCCCAGTGGAACCAGTTAGCTCTCTGCCCTGGGATTTTCTTTGTCACTTTTTTGGCATTTTGATGTTGCTCAGAAGCCTAGCTGGGAGAAGCGTCCTGCTCAGTAATGCATTCATGCTTAGGAAGCATTCTGTTTGCAAACGACTGATTGCTATTTCTGTGGACTTTTGTGACTGAGCCAGGTAAGGAATATTTTTCTAGCTTAAGATACTAGAGAAAAGTACAGTTCGTTATGCCAATGACACCAGTTAAATGATCTGTGTCTCTCAAAGAGAAGTCTGGGTGGTTTTGCTATGCTGTTATACCTCTGTTTTTATCATTATGTACACTTCTCAAATGTGATGGTACAGCTTGCTTATAAGCACCCTTAAGGGCTCGTACATTGCATCTCTTTTTTTAAAAAATATTTTATTTATTATTTTTATTTTATGTGTATGAATATATTGCTTGCATGCATGTAAGTGCACCTGTGTTGTGCAATGCCTGCAGAGGTTAGATGAGGGCATTGAACCCCCTGGAACTGGAGTTATGGACATTGCTAGTCTCCATGTGGGTGCTGGGAATTGAACCGGAGTTCTTTACAAGAGCAGCCAGTGCTCTTAACTGCTGAACCATCTCTCCATTCCCACGCTGCACCTCTTCCTGGCAGATTTTAAAATCTGTGAAACTTCAAAGGTTGGAGAAGCACTTCTGCTTTGTAACACTGAAGCATGCAGGCTGAAAAGTGGGACATCCTGGTTCCCAAAGGTCATGAGAAACCTTTGTAATTCCTTTTGAAACTATTTTCGCCTCCAAAACATTTTGCATTCCTATATATTCATCTTGATCTTTTTTGCTGTAATCACAAAGTATGAGTACCTTTTGAGTCATTATAGTGAAGTGAAGAGGTGTGCCTTATCCTTTCTCTGTACGTTAGAAGAAAAAGAGAAAGGAAAAGAAGATGGGAGGGAGGTAAAAGAGGTCTTTATTTACTTTCAAAAGAAATGTATAAAACATTGAGAACTGAAAACTGAATTTGTTTATGTTTTACAGAAGCAAAATCCTTTTTACCTTCAAAATACATTGGTAATTGTAATGGATAATCTTGATAGTCATACTGATTGAATTGATAATCACCTAGATTAGTAAGATCCCACTCCTCAAAACAAATGTTACCAGCTTATAGATAGGGCACCTGGATAGAATAAAGGCAGCGGAGGGAAGGCCACTGCTCAGGCATGCTTTTCTGAGTTTTCTGGCCTCCACGTGGTGAACAACTACATCTCTACTTTCCTCTGTAGCATTCTGCCTTAGAAACAATGGAGTCACCCAGCCTTAGAATGAAGCCTTTGAAGCCAGGAGCCAAAATAAGACCTTTCTTTAGTTTTTTTTTTTTTTTTTTTTTAAACTCTCAGGCATTTGTTCACATTGGACAAAAATACAATCTGGCTTGCTGGGCTTGTTGGCACACTTCTTTAATCCCAGCACTCAGGACACAGAAGCAGGTGGATGGATCTCTGAGATTGAGTCCAGCCTGGCCTACATAGTAAATTGTGAATTCCAGACCAGCTGGGGCTACGGGGAGGCTGTCTTAACAAACAAACACGCAAACAACAACAATAACAAACCAATCTAGTTAACCAACCAATGAATTCACATCTTTACATATGTTGAATGTGTGGTGTTTCTATACAAACATCAACCAGACTGTGATCACCTCTACAAAGCCTCCTATTCATAGTATTATAGCATGGTGAGTCATTACCTAAAGGCAGATTTCCAGAGGCATCTGCTAACTTAGTAAATCCAGACTGCATATTTTTCCTACAAATGTGTGTTTTTTCAATCCCTAAAGATGTGGCTAACAGTATAAAATGAATCATATTTGTATTTGTGCAGTATATTATAGTTATGAAAACATACAATTTAAATGTTTTCCAAATCCACCTTATGAAATAAGAGGCCTCATAGTTACTGCTAAGTTCCCTACTTGTTTATGTTGGGATGAAGGTGGCAGGTCTGTCCTTAAGCTCTGGTGATGAGATTAGATTTAATTTACTCCAATCCCAAATTTTCTTTTTGATCTCAGTGCTCTTTTCCTAAAAAATGGTTTGTTTGAGACAGACTGTGGATGCACATATGGTCCTGGCTCTTCCTTGGATTTCTAATTGCAGTTTTTGTAGCTAAGATTTCACAAACTGCTTCTTTAGGTCAAAGAAGAAAGGAAGAATGAGAAGAAAGGAAATAGGGTGAGCGCCTGTGTTCTCCTGTGAAGAACTTGGAACTTGGAGTGCTAAGGGGAGCAAGGATTATAGAAGTCCCACAGGAAGAAACACAACCGACGTTAATCATTGCTCCCCAGAGGTTTCTTTTTTTCTCTTTTTGATTTTGCTCTTTAATTAGAGCTCCTAACAAGTAGCAAAATTGATTGATGTGAGCACCAGTTGTTTTCAGTTCACCTGGTTGCCTGCTACAGACCCCTTAATGAGCAGAGCAAAAGGTCCCTCAGTGGAAGGAGGGCCCTTGGCTTCTCTCCTTCCTGCCTGTTAATAAACTTACCCTTCCTGCAAATAAGCTCACCTTTGGCAAGTCCCATAGCTATAACAGAACAGCTGATGGGTTAGTTGGACCCGGATCACCAAAAGTGTATCACATTCTGATTGGATTGCAGATGTGAGCACCCTGTTCTAGGTCAGTTCCAACAGCAGTTTTTCAAAGAAAGAAAGAGAGAGGCAATGATTCTTGCTTCCCCATTTCCTCTGTGAGAAACCACTGCAGAGTTCGCCCTTGCTTTTCCTCTAAGCCTACTCTCCAGGTAGGCCTGAGCTCAGTGTCTCCCTTGGGACCATATATATTCTCAATCTTGGAGATTTTTGAATTTGGGCGTATTTGTTTTTGGTTTTGTTTTGTTTTTAATTTATTTTTATTAAATTTTTCATATAGAATATCTCAATCAATCTTAATCATCTTTATATCCCTGTCCCCACTGGTACCGCACATAGCCGCCCCCACCCCCACCACTGGAATTCATTCATTCTGTCTTTTGTGTTAAGGCCTATGGTGTCAAGTTAGTGTCCCCACCACTGAGGTCTAGTCAACCTATCCAGAGTCCCTCCTTTTATGAAGAGCAACCGGTCCTTACCCAGTGGTAATGAGCTGCCAATAGTTCTGCTAAGATTGGGATCTGCTGTCCATTTCCCCAGTTCTATGCTCGGTTTCTGTCTGCTTGAGTTTGTGTGGGTCCTGTGCATGCTGACACCATTGCTGCAGGTTCCAATGAGCAGGGTCCCAGGAGCTTGTAGGACTCTATTTCCATATGGTCATCCACCTCCTTCCTGGCTGTTACAATCTTTCCATCCCCTTTCCACAGTGGAACCTTAGGTGGGTGAAGTATTAAACTTCCTGTCTAAGGACCAGCATTCTGCAGACTTTTAAGTCTCTACGCTTGGCCATTTGTGACCTTTTGTGTTCCTGGCCTTCTGTTGCATGAAGAGCTTCATTAATGAGAATTAAGATATTCATTAGTGCCCTCTTTACCCCTTGTTCTGTGTTCTATGAGCCTTAGGTGCAGAGGTTGCATTGCAGATGTGCCACCTAGGCTTGGGCAATTCACAGACAAAGTCTGTGTGTAATCAGTTGTGGCATTCTGTAGTAGTCTCTGTGTAGTGCAAAAGAAGCTTGTATAGGTATAGATTTTGCTTGTTAAGCATCTTTTATGTGAAAATCCAAACTCAATTCCAAGTTCAAAACTTTTAAGTATCATCACTTTAAAAAATTTCAGCACTGAGGAACATCTGGGGACACTAGCTTGACGTAATAGGCCTTGACACAAGTGACAGAATGTATGAATCTCAGTGTGGGGGGTATGGGAGGGTGCAGGTGGAAAATGGGGTATAAAGATGATTGATTGAGATGTTCTGAATGAAATACACAAAAATTCAATAAATTTTTTTAAAAAAACTTAAAAAATTCAATTTCAGAGCCTTTCAGACTTTAGATTTTCTGGTTAGGGATACTCAACCTCTATAAACTAAGGAGAAAAGAAATCCTGGGACCTTGACGTACTTTCAGTCATGAGAATGCAAGCCAGACCCATGGACTTCAGTTACTGGGCTGCCTCAACAGAGGCTGACTCTCCTGGACCACAGACCCTCCTTTGCCACCTTGATCTTTTTATCTCCAGAGGAGCTAAGTCACAGCATGATGAAGCTCAGTTAGTCAACAAATCTTCCTCTTAGGTTACTAGAAATTCTAGATTTGGAGCAAGAGCTGGGTTTTTGACTTGTATGCCTATCAGAGCAGTGTTGGTCAGACATTAGCTATCCCAGAACCATCCAGAAGGCCTTAATACATCACAGGTTCCTGGGCCCCATCCTAAAGTTTTAAATTTACTAAGCCTGGAGTACGCCTTAAGATCTACATTTCTGACAAGTTCCCAAATAATGTCAATGATGCTGGTTCAGGGACAACACATGAAGGACCCGTGCATTGAAACAACCGATACAATACTATTCAGACATTCTTTTCCATCTACTTTCTCCAGTGAGTCTTTAAACTTCCAATCCTACAGGTGATGTCTATTTTTAGTAGCTTTAAAACAAAATATGGAGAAGGTTTTGTTGGTCCTGCTATGGTTTATCTCACTCCTTCATAGAACAAATTCATGAAGAGGACTGATCTTTAATCCACCCCATGCCAGGTGCAGTGATGGAGCTCCGTAAGGCCTTGAGGTTGTGATTCCAGAAGGATTCCCTACTGAAATGTAGATGTACATGCTCACATGTTAGTGAGAATGAGTTTAATGAAGGTCTTTTTAGGTTTAAACTTGGGAAAGTCACATCCTGACATGGTTACTTGTCCTGGTGTGCTAGAATTCTGGAAGAGGATCTGCTGGTGTTGGTTCACTAATGAGGGCAGTCAGTGTCCATAATGGTGCTGTGATCAGAAATATGTTCTGCCAAAAAAACCAAAACATCACCAGGGTAAAGTTAGAGAGCATTTGATTCTGGAGTGAAAAGAAGAGTGTTTATTTGAGAACCCAAGTGTATTATACAACTTTGGAGATGAAAGCATTTTCTCTGCAAACAGCAGGGACCTCATGGGAAGGGAAACTTAGAGAATTAAAGGCTTACATCAGAAACAAGAAGGTGCTGGAGAGACAGCTCAGCAGTTAAGAGCACTGGCTGCTCTTGCAGAGGACCTCGGTCCAAGTCTCAGCACCCACAAGGCAGCTAACAACCATCCACAACTCTCCAGTTCCATTGGATCTGACACCTTCTTCTGACTTCTGCGGGCATTACGCGACACTTGTGCACTTACATACATGTAGGCCATGCCCTCATGCACATAAAATAAAAACAATATATAATAAAACATTAAAAAAATAAACAAGAAAAGACCAATATCATTAACCTAGTGCTTACCTCAGGAAATTAGAAGTGCAAAATAAACCCAAAGCAAGAAAAACTAAGAAAATGAAAAAGATAAAGTTAGAAAACAATGAGCTGGAAAATAGGGAAGCCATGGAGAAGATAAAAGAAACAAAAAGCTGGCTCTTTGAAAATTGATAAACCTCAAGGCAAGATTAACAACAAAACGACCCAAATCAGCAGTACCAGAAATGAGACGAAGGTTATCATTTTAGACTTGTGGCCATTTAAAGGCAAGTAGGAGAATATCGCAATGAACTCTGTCTTTAAACATTTGGCAACCACAATCGACCAATTCCTTCACAACCACAAGCCCCCAAAATGATTAGATGATCCACATAGTCCTATAAACATTAAAGAACGTGAATTTGTGATTTAAAGTCTAAAAAGAAATATCCAAACCCAGGTCGTTTCACTGGAGACTAACAGCACTGAAAGAAGAATTAACGTCCGTTTCACAAACTCTCTTCTAGAAAATAGAGAGGAACACTTTCCAGTTCAATCTGAAACCACAACACATGTCTAATTACTGTCCAAATATACCTCTTTGGAGAATGGGATATTTATTTTGCACTGTTCTTTGCACAGTTATTCATCAGTGCAAGTCTCTTTGTGTAACCACTCTTCTGACACAGGCACCACATCCCCATCCCTAGCCCCTGTGTTGCCCTGGTGAAGAGCAGGACCCCTGCTCTAGCCGTGGGATAGCTCATATCACTGTCCCTTCTCCCACCTTCCACTCTCAAGGACTATTGACTATGAACCCTCAGCCCACTCCGTGCAGCAGCCAAGAGCCCTGTTTCCTGGTACTCTGCCTGCTGAATTCCTAATGAATAGAAATTACTGTGTCTTCAGAGAGTCTTTCCCTCCACTTCCACTAATGCCGGCTTTGCAATGTATAGAAATATCTTGGTTATTAAATGCTATTGTCCAATTCAATTTTACAATGAGGACTGTAAAACAATTATGTCCATAGTACAAAGTTGACCCATGAACTACACTGTATTAACTTAAAAGCATTATGATATATGCAATTATAGAGAACTGTAGGCATTATTAATGAATTAAGAGAAAGTTATTAGTTTTTAGTGTTAACTTAGTGGGTAGTCTATTTTCACAATTTAAGAGTTAGATAGTTAAAATGCATGCCTTGCTTGCATTTATCATTAAAGGATGAAATGCCATTTGTAGGTGTTAGGAATATGAGATCCCCGATTGAGATCTCACTTCTGTCTGCCTCATGCAGTGAACCTAAAGATCCCAAATAGCTCATTTGTAACCCCTCATCCTACAAAGAAATGAGAATTTTACACTATACCAAAGTTGACTCTTATGACTCCTATTGTTTCAAGACCAGTAAGAGAAACCACAGTAGCATGTTATAGAACATATTTCTTCTGGTTTACTTTGAGTACTTTATCTGAAGAAATATTTTTCCAGGGCATGTTTAGGACAATAAATCATTTGTTGATGGTCAGTGGAGGGTGAGAAGTAAGATATCTAAATTGTGTGAGTATGGATACAACAGGGCTCTTTCCAATCACCAAATCCATGATGTTCACTTGCTAGTGTGCCACAAAGGTGATGAAGTGGCTGAGGGCCTTCATGTTCACTCTTTACACATTAGTTGACATCCTTCATCAACAAAACGGGTTTAAATTGGATCAGTCTTATCTTTGGGTCCTATATGTAATAGGCAAGACTGTTTTTAAGTGGAGAGAAAGGAAAGTAAACACAGGATGCAGAATGAAGACCCATCAAGGCTCTAACAGACACAGTAAACCAGAGCCACTGGATTCTGGTGACATTTTATCAAAGGATGCATAAGGAAAGCTTCTTTGGAGATTCATGGCCACATGAAAACCTCAACAAATATGAACAGTCTGTGGTTCAAGAAAACAGTATGAAATTGTGGAGGATGATAACATTTCCTTTCATTTAATTAGGTTTAATGTAATAAGACATGATGTGTAGAGGTGTGTGATCTACTCAGTGTACGTTTTTCCAGAAATCTCTCTATCAGAACTTTCACTATGTTTATAGATATATTTAAAAACAGATAAAATATGTGACCCATCATCTTGCTGTTCCCTTCAATTATCTTCTTAATAATATGTGTCTACATGGTGTGGAATAAATCCTATTTCTTTGGTCTTTGTTTTTATTTAGTTCCCTGCTCTGCAGGACATATAGATTATTTGTGGTTGGAATTGACTTTGGGCTTGCTCCTACATTCAGAGCACTAAGGCTTTCTTTGGCCATATCCAGAGGCTTGCTCACACTTCCCCTCTTAATGTTTGGCAAAGCTTAGCAGCCTACCAGCCAAGCAAATCACTTTTCTCTTTAGGGATCATTTGAATCAAGACACTCTGTCATAATTAAATGAAGATAGAAAGTTGGTTGAATAGTTCTTGGTCAGTGTGTATGGAAGTGTCACTTGGAGACTGAACTTCTTGTTCCTAAGTTTTCTCCTTCCTCCACTACACCTGCTCCCTGATGGCTAACTGCTCGTCTGGCCTCCATGTCCGTATTCAAATCCCACTATCATTAGGATAAGTTCTCAAGGTATAGTCTACTTGATGGTTTCCTAGTCCTTTTAATCAGAAGTCTCTTATCCGCTGTATACTTCATTATTATGTTATTGTTGTCTACTTTTTTACATGACAGCTATTTACGCATGTATCAATGTCTGTGTTAGACTGTGATATACCTAAAGAAAGATTTCCTGCCTTAGACATTTAAAGAAATCTTCTCCAGCTGCTCTCATGTCCAGGTATTTTAAAAGTGCATTCTAGTTTTGACTTGCCTCCTTGCAGCTTTACATATCATGTGCCTCCTCGTTCTACCAGTGCCTCTCTGTTGTCACTATTTCTTCTTTCATCCCGATTTTTGGCAGCAAAATGCCCATTTGGGGATGTCTGACATGACCCAGTTTCAGTTTTCAAAGAGCCTTACATAGTTTTTACACACTTAATATAAGACATTTTAATTTTTCTTGTCATTGAATTCAAATTGTGTTCTTTGTAGAACGAAAAGTACACATTGTATGGGCAGCTGTTAGTGCACAGATGAATAACGGGTAAAAATGCTGGGAATGAGAGACTTGAGTGTTTGGCTCTAAAGCAGACATCTCTATCAACAGCCCTCTCAACCAGGGGTGGGGAACATCATGGAAGAAGAGGCAGAAAGAATGTAGAGGCAGAGGATGGAGATAAGTGCTTTGAAGGGCTGTCTTCTGACATGACGTTGCTATCACACTCATGAGCTCACACTAGCTGTGGTTACCTACACAAGACCTACACAAAATGAAGCCAACCCAAATTCTGACATAGATAGGGGAGATGCTTTCCAGGCTCTACCCCTTACTGAAGAGGATAACTGGAAGAAGATAACTGCTTGAGGGAGGGAGAATCATTCTTTTTTGAGGATGTGCCCACTGGTAGGTTTCCTATGCTCCAGACCAATACCAGTGCATATATTGGCAGCACTAACTGGACTTAGTGGATTATAAAAAAAATATTTAAAATATAAAAGAAGGTATAGTGTTTAGAGGAGGGTGTGTTGGGGTGAGATGAGAGGAATTGGGGTAGGGAAATGGTGATAAATATGTCCATACTTCATTGTATATATGTATGAGATTCTCAAGAATAAAGAAAAAATGCAGTGTTGCAGAATAAGTTCTTTGTTTTCTGAAAGGAAGATACTTTTATTAAAAAGCACCCGTATGTTTAATTAAGTCATTAAATTTCTTCTGAGAGAATTGTGAGTCTTTTTTTCCGAGTTTATACTGAATTTCTATTGAAATACAAACTCAGTTGTCACATTGTATCCCATGAGAGAATTAGTGCATGTCTACAACTCTGGATGTTAAGGTTCTCTAGAGGAACTTGAAAAATATTTTATTATTTTTATTTTGTTTGTATGAGTGTATTGCCTGCATGTGTGTAAGTGACCCATGCTGTGCAAGGCCTGCAGAGGTCAGAGGAGGGCATTTTATTCCCCTGGAACAACAGATGGTTGTTAACCACCACGTGGGTGCTGGAAATTGAACCTGGACCCTCTGCAAGAGCAGCCAGTGTGCTTAACTGCTGAGCCATTTCCCCAGCCCCTAGAGGAACCTTTAATTCTAGTTTCTGGGTTTTATAGTGTTTAAAATCAGGTTAGTGCACAAACATTTTGCAACATTTAAAGGGTTTTACTTTACTGTCAACTTTCAAGGTAGTTTGTAGGTTATTTTTGAGAGGCAATGTCATGTGGAGGCATATTTAGAACCATTATAGGCAAGTACTTAAACATCCATTTGCTTTATATTTATTGACTATCTTTTATATGCCAGGAGCTGAGCTAGGTCATTAGGAAACGTCAAGGAAAAAATAAAGTCATGGCTCTTACAAATCATAGATTCTAAGACAAATCATAATACAGCAAAGAAGTAAATTACATCACCTTCTAGAAAACAGGGGCGAACTATGTAAACACAAGCAAGTAGGGCAATGTGCGTGTATCAAACAGAGCAATGTGCAT